GAGACAAATGAAGAAGGTGTCACCCCTTACTATGAGACAAATGAAGAAGGTGTCACCCCTTACTATGAGACAAATGAAGAAGGTGTCACCCCTTACTATGAGACAAATGAAGAAGGTGTCCCCCTTACTATGAGACAAATGAAGAAGGGGGGCACCCCTTACTATGAGACACAATGAAGAAGGTGATTACCCCTTACTATGAAACAAATGAAGAAGGGGGGCACCCCTTACTATGAGACAAATGAAGAAGGTGTTACCCCTTACTATGAGACAAATGAAGAAGGTGTCACCCCTTACTATGAGACAAATGAAGAAGGTGTCACCCCTTACTATGAGACAAATGAAGAAGAATATAGAATATAAAGATAGAATAAGACTGTCTTGAGAACGCCCTGTGGGTGGGGCGAAATGTGTTGACGCACTTCCGGTCCGCCGTCATTATGGTAACGTCACTTCCGGTGTTTGGAACGCACGCCGGCTTATGCGGTTCAAGCGGCCATCTTGGAGGTGGAAGGCTGTTCATCCTCTGCAGTGACTATATAAGCGTGAGATCCCTATATCTACATTCTGGAAATTGCTTATCTGGAAGCCGTTGAGGCTATTAAACAAGGCTTTTAATTCTATTTAAACATGTGATTGGCCTTATTCTATCTTTATATTCTATATGGAGTGGCAGTATTACACTATGTAGTTTTTTTTCTCTGCACACCATTGAGGAATCCATGGAGAAATAGAGTGGAGATGAGTGCTATACCATAGCAGGGTGAAGGAGATGATTTGAGTTCCTTTGGAGGGGTTATAGGATCCCTTATATCCTATAAGGCTCACTACTCACCTCCATCTGGTGAGTGCGGTCAACATTATTTCTCACGTGGTGGATAGGTGGAAGCACATTTGGAAGATTTTTGATTTTTTTATTGGTTTTGATGGGAATAAGGACTTATATATATATATATTATTTTTTCAAGGACACTTATTATAAATGTAGTGTTTATTTGTGTTATTTTAATTTTAGATTTTGCACTGTTTTTGTGTTGTTTATTATTGGTGTTTTTTACTGGTGCACAGCTGCATAATCATATAGTTTTTTCTTTCTTTTTTTGGCGCTGGGATATATACTTTTAGTTTGATAGTTTTGATCAAATCGCACATTGCTGAGATAATAAAATCAGTGTGTATATCCACCATTACCCTCCATGCATTTGTACGGTTTGGCCTGTCAGTGTGACATCTCGAGGTCGTCCAGAGATACAGGGACACCATCCAGTCCCTCTGTCAGCATCCTGCCATGACCGGCTGAAATACGCGGCTGGACGCTGTACTGAGCGGCACTCACATTTAGCCTGTATGCGCGAGAGACAAATGCTCTGAATGCAGGAATTCTGCGTTTGCAACAAACCTACCTGAACCAGGGGATGTTGCGCATACAATTGTATTTGTTTTGGGAGTCTGCAGCTGCCAAGGCAAACAGCTCCTGTTTTGCTCTCTGTTTGGAGAATGCATTGTGCCACGTGTGTGTGTCCTTGATTACATGTGCGATAAATATGTGCCAGAACAATTATATTCATTATCATATAAAGTGGCCTAGTTTTTATAATTTGCTTGCGTCTATGCAAAGTAATGTGGACGTGTAACACTTCTTAGCTATATTATCTCTCATAGAAGATCCCTGTACTCCCCCCCCCCTGACATACCTTTATTTGATTTTCTCTCCGGAAGTACAGAGCCATCTTTATTCAGGTATCATCCATGGGTGACCATCCACTTCTTGCACGGAGATGCTGGCGCAGAACTGACACAATCATGTAAATACTAATGCCTGGGTCGTTTATGTTCACAAATGTCAGACACAGATCAGCCCCTGCTGCAGCATGCTGTGTTGGGATCTGCTACATAATGCTGCAGTCTGATCATTGTAAGCCCAACTCTGGGTGCAACAAAGACACATACCCTTGAAGCAGAGAAATACACAGCAGCATGGCCTTGCTGGCAGGAGAGAGACCTTGTGTTTACACATAGATGTCTCCCCTGTCACTTCTACACGGCGATCGCTGGGTGCCGGCGGTGAATCTCCGGCTGGGACCCGGTGATTGACATCCGTAGCTGCCAATGGCGGAGCATGCGTGCCCCTTACCCGGCAATGCAAATCATGTATATATACATGATTTTGCGCAGCCCTACTGCCCTGGCAGTAGTTCTACTATAGGGCGGCGGAAAAGCGGTTAATCCTTCCAGTGCATAGGGCCCCACTGCAAGGGTGTATTTTGACTAATTCCTGGAATTAGTCTTTAAACCTATTCAATTGTTACTAAACCCACAACTGTAAAATCAGTCTGTATATGCAGTAAAGCATGCTTGTTATACTCACTGTGGAACCTAAGGGGTTAATCCTCTGCATTGTGTAAAAAGGCTGACTTTGATCCTGACTTCTCTGCCCCTCCTCTTGTTCAAATGACCACCTGATACAGCTGCAGTCACATGCACATGCTCAGTTTAGTGTTTATTGCGAGAGAGGGTTTTTTTTGTCTTGGGAGAGTGCATGTGATCAGCACAGGACCAATTAGCACTGTCAGGGGTTCTGCATCCTCCTAGAGCAGAAAGAAAACTCCTCCTACACGTTTTAACCAGTGCTCTGCTGAAGTCACAAGACTGCTCTAACTGTTGATGAGAAAAGGTATTTAGCAGTTTATATTCACTAAAATAATTGCATTTCCATGTTGTGTGTACTGTCGGAGACCAGATATAGTGAATGCAGGGTCCGGGGAGACCGGATATAGTGAATTTAGTGGCTGGGGAGACCAGATATAGTGAATGCAGGGTCCGGGGAGACCATATATAGTGAATGCAGGGTCCGGGGGAGACCAGATATAGTGAATGCAGGGTCCGGGGAGACCATATATAGTGAATGCAGGGCCCGGGGAGACCGGATATAGTGAATGCAGGGTCCGGGGAGACCGGATGTAGTGAATGCAGCGTCCTGGGAGACCGGATATAGTGAATGCAGGGTCCTGGGAGACCAGATATAGTGATTGCAGCGTCCGGGGAGATCGGATATAGTGCATGCAGGGTCCGGGGAGACCGGATATAGTGAATGCAGGGCCCGGGGAGACCGGATATAGTGAATGCGGGGCCCGGGGAGACCGGATATAGTGAATGCGGGGTCCGGGGAGACCAGATATAATGAATGCGGGGTCCGGGGAGACCAGATATAGTGAATGCGGGGTCCGGGGAGACCAGATATAGTGAATGCGGGGTCCGGGGAGACCAGATATAGTGAATGCGGGGTCCGGGGAGACCGGATAGAGTGAATGCGGGGTCCGGGGAGACCGGATATAGTGAATGCGGGGTCCGGGGAGACCGGATATAGTGAATGCGGGGTCCGGGGGAGACCGGATATAGTGAATGCGGGGCCCGGGGAGAACCGGATATAGTGAATGCGGGGTCCGGGGAGACCAGATATAGTGAATGCGGGGTCCGGGGAGACCAGATATATAGTGAATGCAGGGTCCGGGGAGGACCGGATATAGTGAATGCAGGGTCCTAGGAGACCGGATATAGTGAATGCAGGGTCCTAGGAGACCGGATACAGTGAATGCAGGTTCCGGGGAGACCGGATATAGTGAATGCAGGGTCCGGGAAGACCGGATATAGTGAATGCAGGGTCCGGGAAGACCGGATATAGTGAATGCAGGGTCCGGGAAGACCGGATATAGTGAATGCAGGGTCTTGGGAGACCGGATATAGTGAATGCAGGGCTCGGGGAGACCGGATATAGTGAATGCAGGGTCCGGGGAGACCGGATATAGTGAATGCAGGGTCCGGGGAAACCGGATATAGTGAATGCAGGGTCCGGGGAGACCAGATATAGTGAATGCAGGGTTTAGTAGCATTTTAACTTGCCTATTAAAGGATGTTTTCTGTCCTTATAAAAGAAATGATTTTTGAGTGGCCAATCACAGCAAATGTCTGAGCAATGTTTGCAGCAATAAGCCGTTTTGGCCTTGTTAGGGGCACTAATGAGGCTTTCTATATGTTACGTTCTCCTATTCTTTCCCAAAACTTTCCACTAACCATACACTGGTCCTGACTATGTAACAGGACACTAAAACTGCATAGCAATTTGTTATATCTAGAGAGTGTTGAGAACATTTCAATGATGTACTCATACAGTTTAGATTAACATTATAAAAAAGTAACTCCTTTTTATAAAAGATCCTCCTCCATGGCATCCCATTTTATAAAAGATCCATATCCATGGCGTCCCATTTTATAATTAAAAATACAAATTAGATTTTCAGCTGAAAGTTGAAGGCATTTCTTCAGAATAGGAGATGAGGAAATGTGTGCATGGCTGCTATTCTTCTTGGACTCCACTATATTGATTTTGGCAGTCTGCAGGTGCCAAGGCAAACCAGTTCTGCTGTCCTGTCTGTGATGTAGTCATAGGCAGAGGTGCACTGGGAACAGATCATACACTGGGGGAGATTTACGAAGGCTCTGTTCACACCGATACAGTTTTTAATGCTTTTTGCAGAAGCACAGTACACTTAACATTGTTTCCTATGGTTCAATGGAGAATCTGCTGTCTGCCCAGCAACAAACAAAAAAATTCCACTTTAAAAAAAAAAAAAAAAAAGAAAGAAAGAGCTGAACAAAACACAGTAAAAACGTGTAGAAAATCACAAAACTGCAAACAGCACTGGAGAAAGCATGAAACAAAATGCATATACAGTATGTGAACCAAGCCTAACCTGGAGTACTCAGAGTCAGGTGCAGCTGTGCATGGTAACCAATCAGCTTCTAAACTTCAGCTTGTTCAATTAAGCCAGTGGTATCCGAACCACGGCCCAGGGGCTGGATGTGGCCCTTTGCTTGCTTTTATCTGGCCTCTGGCCCAGGAGTACTATTCCTCCTGCTGACACCAATGATGGAACACGATTCCTCCTGCTGACACCAATGATGGAACACGATTCCTCCTGCTGACACCAATGATGGAACACGATTCCTCCCGCTGATACCAACGATGGCGCGCTGTTCCTGCCAATGACACCAATGGTGGGGCACAGTTCCTCCCGCTGACACCAATGATGGGACACGATTCCTCCCACTGATACCAATGATGGCGCACAGTTCCTCCCACTGACACCAATGATGGGACACGATTCCTCCCACTGATACCAATGATGGCGCACTGTTCCTCCTGCTGACACCGATGATGAGGCACGGTTCCTCCCACTGACACCAATGATGGGACACGATTCCTCCCACTGATACCAATGATGGCGCGCTGTTCCTCCCGCTGATACGAATGATGGGGCACAGTTCCTGCCGCTGACACCAATGATGGGACACTGTTCCTCCCGTTGACACCAATGATGGGACACGGTTCCACCCGCTGACAACAATGATGGGGCACGGTTCCTCCTGCTGACACCAATGGTGGGGCACGGTTCCTCCCGCTGACACCAATGATGGGGCACGGTTCCTCCCGCTGACACCAATGGTGGGGCACGGTTCCTCCCGCTGACACCAACGGTGGGGCACTGTTCCTCCCACTGACACCAATGGTGGGGCACAGTTCCTCCCACTGACACCAATGGTGGGGCACAGTTCCTCCCACTGACACCAATGGTGGGGCACAGTTCCTCCCACTGACACCAATGATGGGACACGATTCCTCCCACTGATACCAATGATGGCGCACTGTTCCTCCCCGCTGACACCAATGATGAGGCACGTTCCTCCCGCTGATACCAATGATGGCGCGCTGTTCCTCCCGCTGACACCAATGATGGGGCACGGTTCCTCCCGCTGACACCAATGATGGGACACTGTTCCTCCCATTGACACCAATGATGGGGCACAGTTCCTCCCACTGACACCAATGGTGGGGCACAGTTCCTCCCACTGACACCAATGATGGGACACGATTCCTCCCACTGATACCAATGATGGCGCACTGTTCCTCCCGCTGACACCAATGATAAGGCACGTTCCTCCCGCTGATACCAATGATGGCGCGCTGTTCCTCCCCGCTGACACCAATGATGGGGCACGGTTCCTCCCGCTGACACCAATGATGGGACACTGTTCCTCCCATTGACACCAATGATGGGACACGGTTCCCACCCGCTGACAACAATGATGGGGCACAGTTCCTCCCACTGACACCAATGGTGGGGCACGGTTCCTCCCACTGACACCAATGATGGGGCACTATTCCTCCCACTAATACTAATGATGGGGCACTATTCCTCCTGCTGACACCAACGATGGGGCACTATTCCTTCCGCTGACACCAATGATGGGGCACTATTCCTCCCGCTGACACCAATGATGGGGCACTATTCCTTCCGCTGACACCAATGGTGGGGCACTATTCCTCCCAGCTGCCAACAATGATGGGGCTTTATTGTTCCCATTAATGCCAATGAAGAGGCATTTTTTTTACTATTGCCACAAGGGCATTTTCTCTCCCTTACAATGGGCAAGGTCTGGCCCCCTCAAAATCTGAAGGACAGTAAACTGGCCCTTTGTTTAGAAAGTTTGGAGACCCCTGAATTAAGGTTTGGCAATAGAACCTGGAAGCTGATTGGTTTCTATGCAGAGTTGTACCAGACTTTGCATTCCCCTTGTGTTGCATGAACACCACCTATTCATTGTTAATGGGCGACCAGTGTACCTTAGCATCACTACAACACATGGTGACCAGGGGCGGACTGACAACTCATGGGGCCCCCGGCCAATAGGGGATCATAGGGCCCGTGTCCTTGCCCAAACTCAAAAAAGCCTATGAAAAAAGGTACCAGGGGCCTCTCATGGGGCCCCCTACTGACCCCAGGCCCTCAGGCAGTGCCCGTGTTTCCAAATTGTCAGTCTGCTCCTGATGGTGGCACATTACAGCGTGGGTATCTTGTGTACTACTGTAGTAGTGTGTTGGGGCTGCCATGGAATTCTTGAATAGCTCTGAACATGATTTCTGTGTACAGTAAATTGCAGGTTTTATCGCACATTATTGCAATGCAAGTCATAAAGCTTGCCACACACTACTAGATTTTGCTGTTCAGGGTGAAGAAAAAAAAAAAATTACCAGCCTCCTCCATGTATGCTAAAAGGGCAAATCATAATCGCATCGTATAGTCGACTACACCAGCTGTCAAAACATCCAAACAGTGCCTGCATCTGTGTGGATGTAGACGCTGTTCAGCCTCCAAACAGGATTCTAAAAAGGCATACTGCTTGAATTTCTGCAGAAGGAATCACATGAAATCTGAGCAGTGTATGGCCACTTTCAGTCTTTTTTGGATACAGTTGAGTGCCAGCTTATGACCATGGTAAGCCTAGGGGCTCAGTGTATGACATGCTAAAGCGGAGCTCCACCCAAAAAGGGGAAGTTCTTTTTAAGCCTTTGTCCCCCGCTCCCCATTAAGGATTGGCACCTTTGGGAAGTGGGTACCCAAATTTGACAGGTACCCACTCCCACTGCGATCAGAAGTTGTCCTCCCCCCTCCCTCCCTGTAGTCTGTTGGTACACATGACAGGTCCCAGAAGACTACGGGACCATTCACAAAGTGCAGAGCTATTCACATGCGCAATGGGCAGTCAGCTGTGAAGCCGCAGTCACAGCCGGTGCCCACACTGAAGATGCCAGGGAGGGAAGGTGGGCGGTGAAACCAGTCGTGGTGAGGACACCACTGAACCGAGAGACAGGTAAGCGTCTGTATTTAAAGTCAGAAGATACAGTTTGTGGAGCTTTTATTTTTTTCCAGCTGGAACTCCGCTTTAACTCTCATATCTCACATTAATTATTTAATCTCATTGGTTAAATCAGAGTTCCACCCTTTTTTGCAACCACAGCCGCATTTGTTGCTGAACCCTGTTCCATTAACTTTTGAATATTGTAATTTTTAGATGTAATAAAATCGCTCCACTTCCATCCAACCTTAACATGGCGAGGTATATAATTTCCTTTCTCCCCATTGGCTCCTGGGATACCAGTCTCATCAATCCCAGGAGTTGATTGACAAGTTGCCATAACAACTTCAGGAACTACCTCTAATGCCGCCATTCCTATGGTGGCCTGCAGTACATAGTGCGCCACAATTACTTCCCACTGCACATGCGCAACATCGGGAGGTGCATGCTGGGTAGGCAGCTACACCTAATCCCGGAAGAAACTCCTAGCGGGCTTTAGATACCCACACTATGCATGACAGCTTACATGGTCCAGAGGGTGCTGCAAGTAATGCTGGATTTTAATTAAAAAAACAAAAAAATTAAAAATGTACTTTTTTTTTAAATACAAGATGACTGGAGCTCTGCTTTGATCACCACCTCCAATATCCCCTTTCCGATCTCTTCGAATAGTTATTGCTAGTTTGAAACTTGTATTTTAAAGGAATGAGAAACTGGATATTTTTTTTACAGTTAATATCCCTTGAGAATAAAATATTGTGCATGTGGTAGATACAGCTGATCTGCGCAGTTATACTACTAAGAACTAGGGGGGGAATAAATCGATTTTTTTCCTGTACAAAAAATGGCCACTGTCCCAGTCTAACTGGCTTTTACAGCAAGGAACACATGGACAGGCAACACATGTCAAAAAAAGAAAAGTCCCAGCTCAACTATCCAGCCAGCTTACTAACAACCGAATTAACCTGTCCAACAGTATGCGTTAAAAACCAGGGGTTTTCCTGTTGTATCAGAAACTTTAAAATTTTAGATTTCCTCATCAAAGCCCTGTTGTACCTCACACTTGCTTGATTACTTAGTTAACTGGCAGAGGATATGTTTATTCCAGGAAGTATGAATTGTTTTATTCCAAAATACATTGCATGATACTTGGCTTCTGTATTTGGCAATTACTGTGATTCTTTTTTTTTATTACATTAAAAAGACAGTTATGAAAAATAAAACAATTTCCTATCACCTTCTTTCCAGTGACAATAGTCACCAGTGGGATTCAGTGAAAAATCCTTCAGACTATCACATAACTAAAAATAATTGTCTGAAAAACATTTCGTTTCTGATGAATGAAATTACCAATGGACTTAAAAGGACCTTGTACAGAAAAAAAAAAAGCGAGAACTGTTCGTTGGTCCTGTTCTGTTGGGACATGGTTCACAGAATATTCGACAGCTACTTACCATTGGATGTACATGTCAAGTGACAGAAAAGTGAACCCGTGGACTTATCTCATTTTGTAAGCTAACCCAAGGTCCATAAGACCGGCACCAACATGTGCCCCTTTACCAATCTAGTCTTCAGTGTATTCAGGTATCCTGAAAACCAATGCACTGTACAGGCGTACCTCGGTTTACAAACGCCTCGGCTAACGTAATTTTCATTTTACGTATGAAAATCCACTGGAAATAATGCCTCGGTTTACAAATTTTGTTCGCAATACGAAGAAAGTTTCCCCAGGATGCATTATGCCTGGGAGGTTTATAGCGCCGGCCCGTGCCTTTAAAGTGCACTTTATAAAGAGTTTTGAACAGATATGACTTTTTTTTACTTTTTTCAGACCTCTAGAACGGATTAATTGGTTTTCCATGCATTTACGAATTTTTTTTTTCGGAATACGAAGCAAGTTTCCCCAGGATGAATTGCGCCTTGGAGGTTTATAGCGCCGGTCCCGTGCATGCTGGAGTCTGTGGGTAGCATGTGGTGTCGAGTGTGGAGGTGTTGGAGCGGTTTTTGCATTGCGTTTTGGAGCCATTCTGGAAATTTTTAATCATGTCCCTGTACAGTGTTTATGTCTTCTATCTGTTCAAAACTCTTTTTAAAGTGCACTTTATAGGCATACATACTGTACAGGGACATGATTAAAAATTTCCAGAATGGCTCCAAAACGCGATGCAAAAACCGCTCCAACACCTCCACACTCGACGCCACATGCTACCCACAGACTCCAGCATGCACGGGGCTGGTGCTATAAACCTCCTAGGCGCAATTCATCCTGGTGAAACTTGCTTCATATTGCAAAAAAAATTTGTAAATGCCTTGAAAACCAATTAATCCGTTCCGGAGGTTGGAAAAAAAAGTCAAAAAGTCTTATCTGTTCAAAACTCTTTATAGAGTGCACTTTAAAGACTTTTTTCTGACCTCCGGAATGGATTAATTGGTTTTTCAAGCATTCCTATGGGAAACCACGATTTACGAATTTTTTCGCATTATGAAACGACCCAGAGAACACATTAAATTCATAAACCGAGGTACGCCTGTATTGTGAAAATTCAGCCACAACATCCATGGTCAGTGTTTGGGATGCCTTTTCATACCCTTCATGATTTTCTATTGGACAGTAAAGCTGCCTTTAGGAAATACAGAGGGTGGGCCAAATATCTACTCTCACTGTCAGAGTTTGCATAATAAACCACCTAGTTTTGTGTTCGCCAGGACCCCCTAAAGAAAAAGGTGACACGGCAAGCTGAGGGCCACTGGACAAGGACTGATCACAAGGAGACTGAAGTAAGTTTTTTAAATGGAATTGGAACTAAAATGACAGCTACGGTTACATTTTAAAACATTTATCTGTCCACACTCTTTATCTTTACTTCATTAAAACATGTAAAATTTGTCCTGCACTTGCTAAGCTTGCATTGCCATGTTGATTAAATTCTGCTCTTAGAAAACCTGTCATGAGAGAAACATTGGGCTGTCACTGCTGGCAAGCCAACCTACAAATACTAGATTGTTTAGCTAGTCCTCTGGGTTCAATGATATGACCCATCTGCAAAGAGCAAGTACAGTTGTGTTCAAAATAATAGTCAGACAATCACTAACCGGATCAATCACTGTTTGTGGTAGAAATTATATTTTCTAACATGGCAAATAATTTACTAGCAGGTGTAAGTAGAGTAATAGAAATCCAACAGACCCAACAGTCGATGACATGCATGCAGCTGATTCTGTGTAGTTGAATCACTAATTGAAAGGGGC